TGTTTCATACCAGCCTCATCGATACCGATGTTCTGTGACATACCCAGGTATCGGTATGTTTCAGCCTCGGAAAGGGTCCTTAAGTTGACGGGCATAGATAAGTCTATGCCCTCAGATTTAGCAACCCTTCCCCTTTCAACATGGAGGACCGCACACTTATCCGTCCCCAGCTCCATTCTAATAGAATTGCTAAATTCACAAGTGATGTTTAGCAATTCCATAAGATAGGAGCGATTGGAGGCGAATAATTTGAGGTCATCGATATAGAAAAGGTGGGTCACTTTTGTACCTCCTTTCCGAAGCTGAAATCCCCTCCCGGAGGCATCCAGTAAAGTACTGAGAGGGTTCAAAGAGAGGCAGAACCAGATTGGACTCAGACGGTCGCCCTGGAATATACCCCTTCTTATCCTTATGCGGCTTTCCGCAGCTGTCATCCGTTCGCCTAGATGACAGAGGATCGTACTCCATTACCCCATACACTGCTCGAGGAAGTCTCTAACTGTACAGTCAATCTTATACAGCTCGAGGACCCTCTTTAGCCATGTATGGGGAACCGAGTCGAATGCTTTTCTGTAATCTATCCAGGCGGCGGAGAAGTTCCGACGGTTGCGTTTCACCACTTTGCCAATGATCGTGTCAATGAGGCGTGGTTCCTTGGTTCCACGACCACCGTCCCGACATCCATTTTGATCACGCGACATCACCTGATTGATTCCAGGTGACGAGTAATTCTCGCGCTCAAAATGGATTTTAGTGTCTTGGGGCGGTATTTGTTCGGGTCTGTGGTAACCTGGTCTTTAGGAACCAAATGAGTGATCCCAGTAGTGAAGAGGCTAGGGAGCGACTTCTGGTTGAGCACAGCGTGACACACCATGAACCCCTTAAGCCAGTAGTGATGCAGCCCGTCGAGTCCCTGACTTTTCCAGTTCGGGGCTCTACGGATCGCCTCAGCTACGTCATCCGGCGTTATGATGACGGGGTCCATGGGCGTAATACTCGTTGTATTACTATATATATCGTAATACTCTTATTATTATTATTATATAATATAGGTACATGTAAGGACAGGTTTTTACGTGGTGGAGCAATGCTGCATTTATATTAGTAGTATAGTTGTAGCACGAATGGGTCGGCTCGACCGGGGAGGTACCACGCTCTCACAGAATACCAGCTTAAAATAGTTGCTTAGTGCTGCTGTGTTTCGTATGGTGAGTGTAGAGAACCAAAGACCTTTTTTACTGGAAACGAGGCATATCTTAGTCCTCACGGGTGACAACGCATCTGATTGATCACGAGATGGATGTAGATGTCTATGGACCACAACAACCACTTACCATCAGGTGTACTATCTGCTCGTTTGTCACCCTATCCTGTAAAATAAAAATAGGTATATAATGAAAGGTATATAATGTAAGCTCAGATGAAGTAAAAAAAGTTTTTTTTACTTCATCTGCGAATGTAACATACAGAACACAATATCTCAATGAGGTAAACTTGAGTGTTTTCATTGATGTTAAGAATATAGAAATAGAAACCATCCGTTGGTATTTTAAATGAGACTTAAAGGTACCTAGTAATAGCACAGAATAAATAATAGTACTACGTAGTATTTATTAGTCACAACGAGTGAACGGTTTATTATAATTCTGTCGCTCAGACGAAGTAAAAAACTTTTTTACTTCATCTGAGTTCTGTCGATATCGCATGAGTCACTCCGTAACATGGCATCAAAACAATACCTATAATACATTCCGCAACTTGTTTATCTAAATCACAGAATATAATATACTAGTACTACGTCTAAATACTATAACGCGCGAAACTCTACGCGCAATATAAATATAGCCGAAATCGTATGAATAAACTCTTACACAATAATTACGCTATGTTATGTCGACAGTGTAGGTGGTGCGATCTTCTCAAGGTTATTTTTGATGGCGGGAAGCGATCATTATTATTTTACATATCTCTTATTAATATAATTCTTGTTATAATTGATTATTTTATATATAACAATAAATCGAGCTGAACGATTTTGTTGCTTAGAATTTTATTAGTTTCTTTTATTTCTAAACTAGGTTTTATTAGTCAGCGAAATATGAACATCGAGATAATGTTTAGTATAATAAATTTTAATGTATTGTTATGTGTTTCTTTGTCTAGTAGATTGTGACTAGACATTAAACAAACTGTTCGACGGACAAAGGTTTCGAGATTTCGATAAAAGAAACAGAAAACAGTAGGTAACAGCTAACAGGTAACATACAAAAATAAAAGAATTATACATTGCTCCTTTAATGCCTGTGAAAAAAAATCTTTTTTATTAAATGCTAGCAATGAATTAGGAACACATAAGTGACGTGACGACTGTCAAAAATCAAAATATCTCAGCTGTCAATAACAATATTGTGAAACAGAGACAAAGATAGTAATTTTATCGTGAGTGAAGAAAGATAAGCAAACTGATCACGAGAAAGAGATGGATAGAGACATTATAAACTAGTATGAATGAGATGTATATAAAACAATGCTTACAACATTAAAATTTACCTTCTTGTTTGGTACGCATGCGTCATTATGCTATTACAGAACCGTATTCAATCAAAATTTTAATAGCATTAACAAAATACACAACTATGTCGTGATTTTGACAATAAAATTTAAAAATTCTGTTTTAAATTTTCGTAATTCATTTCAAATTAATTTAAAAATAATGAGATTCTCAATTATTCGTCTATATATATTATCCATGTATATTCGGGCATACATTCTTAGTTCATGAATCAATTTTAACGATTTTTCTTTTATCTATGTAAATTTGAAGAAAAATTGTATACATGGTGGAATAATAGGGGATTTAAATTTTAATGTAACATTTTAGACGACATTCTAGTTCTTAACTTTAACTTGTGATATTTCTTAGTCCACGCAAAAGGATAAAAAATAAACATTAAAAAAGTAAAAACTGACTTCAAAAATTAAAAAGATTAAAATAATTCCTATTATATTCATAATAGTATCTCAAGTCAGGACTCAAATTTTCGACACATTCGTCTTAGGACCAACTTGGTGAACCGATGAAACGCAGTTCAACAAAACTAGAGGTGGGCTGAATATTCGTTTTATATTCGGTATTCGGCATATTCGGCCGAATATTCGGCTAAATCACCGAACATTCTTTAAAGTTGTACTCGAAGAGTACACTGTAATGAAATATACGAATTGAGTAATGCCATGTTTTTCATATTTTGCTGTTGAAAGTATATTTTATTTATGGTTTAAATCTACTTATATAGCGTTATGTTTTTTAAGGCACTGTAGATTTATTTCCAATTATAGCAAATAGAAAGCTTGATAACATTTTGTTTGGAATCTAACAAATTACATTACATTCGTCAGTTTCTCTAAAATAGGTCAAAATAGTAGATCTCCTGCCACTCATTTTCATCATATACTTATCAATTTTTACTAAGAATAACACAACGAAATACTTTTTTTCCTAAAAAATAGTCAAAACATAAGCATGTGCCGGCAATTTGCTTTAGATGATGCAATAACATGTCAGGTGTGGCGGGGAAGCGAGGGGCAGGGTTCGGTGCTAATCCCGCGCGCTTTTACGGTAAAAAGTTTCAACATAAATTGGTTAGGTACCGAGGTAATCCTGCCGAATAATGTTCGGCCGAATATTCGGTTCGGTAAAAATTTTACCGAACGTTCGGCCGAATATTCGTATTCGGTGAAATCCATATTCGGCCCATCCCTAAACAAAACCAGCGATATTATACCGCATTCCGTTCCGTGTAGGGCTACAAACTTTATAACGTATCCCGCTACATAAAAAGTCCGAATACTATAATTGTAAAAAATACCTATGAGGCAAAACTACTTTACTTTAATAAAGGCTGACTATGGTGTAATACTTAATAAAAGCTTAAGACAGCAAAATAGGATCTATTTTAAAAGTAAAATTTTAATTTGGAACCTACTATGCTTTTTACCATTGTTTTTAATAGGTAATAGCCTCGCCAGTACGTACTATTTGATAGAAAAAGCTATGAAAACCCCAGCTTCAAGACCGAGAAAAGAAGACCTATATAGTTTCAGTGATTACAAATACTCCCCCAATCCCCTAAAACTTTTGAAATGATAATGGATGTATGTATGGCTCATAGTTTCAACATGTATATTGATGTTAGCATCTAGTATTTGTATGTCTGTGTAAACCTTTATCGATAAAATAAGTAGTGTCTTTTACTATTGGTATGATTGTAGTCAGATTATACCAGATTCAGTGTTATTCTGTAGTTGTTGCTCAGTTTTTCTAAGTATTTAGTTCCTACTCAACGTAGGAAAATATAGTAACGTTTATGGGGTACATTTTGTTTTTTGCCTTGTTAAGATACACTATGCCTTTTCTATTCTGAGCAACTGTTAGTTCTTGTTTTCCTACTGTGTTTATATAGGCATTTCCCAAAGTGTTTTAGTGGATTAACTGTAGGTATAGTTTGCAATGGCGTTTGGTAATGTAAGATCAGTTTCTACCAAAGCTACGGAACATGAAGATTGTCTTTTAGCCAAGTCTAATGGAGGTATTGAATTATGTATATTTTATGCCATTTTTTATAATTTGTGTGGTTTATAGTAATAAAATATGACAATATTTTTTAAAATTGTGGACAAAATCCCCGTGTCGCAATTATCAAAATAACATTTGGTTTTATAAAACTTAGGCTTAACCGCATTTTATATTGTGCTATTAATAAAAGAAACTTAATATTCCTACCTTCCAAATTGATGAAAAAATATCTACGCCTCTAATACGTCCCTGACCAAATACAATCAGCTGTTTATAATGACAGTTCCTCTGACAAATACAAAATGGTTGAAAACTAAAGTTGGCAAACAAAGAAAGGCAGCGTAATAGCGCATTTAAACGTTAAAATCGAGTTTTCTGAAGTGAAAGTTAGTTAGTTTAGTGTGTATTTAGTGTTTTGTGCACGATGTTGGATTTAGAAATTGTTCCTGAGCGATCTTTGGGCTGCGATGCCTGGGAATTTGTATTAGGTGAGCTCTCGTCTGTATTACCTTACGTCAATTATTTGCGTTGTATTTTCACGGGAAGCTTCTTACGCAATGATCGTTTATTTACTTGAGTTCTAATACTAGCTAAAACACCAAATAACATCTTAAAACATTATATATATTACATTGATTTTTTTTGCGAAGTGTCATGGACAGCCTTTGTTTCGTCTGTGCTTTCAATGTTTATTTTTTATTGCTAAACTTGACCGTGAAATACTAAAGGGTATCTTGTTTTTAAGTTTTTTCATTTAACTTAACTAAAGTTTAACTTGTTTCTGCACAGGAATTTACTGCTATCTCTTTACGAACTATTTATATAAATAGATTTTAGTGTACAGCATAAAATACTCTTTTGATAATACTGATAAATTTTTCTTTACAAATTCAAAACAATTACAAAAAAAAATTCTATGTAGTATGTATTGTATAATAACACATGTATTATATATATTAGTAACTACTACTTAACTATTAAAGCATTGTGTTTGAGAGAAATTATCATCAGTGACAAAATGCTAATGTGCATAATATAATAAAGGATCTTATTCTGATAAATTTATATAATAAAATGTTTCTTATGAAAAACTAAGCCAATTTTCTATCATCCATTTATTATTGCCCACTATATTGAAAGTTCGTCACTTAACATTGGCCTCCACCATAGATTACCTCCTTGGAGAGATATTTTGAATTGGTATTAAGAAGATGCTGTTGCCCATCTCCCTTTCTAGCTTCACTTTGTCGCATCTTACAAAGACCATAGTATAATAGAGCAGTGAATTTTCTTATATCACATCATGGCATTAATCTATCAAAGGGGTAAAAATTCAGATGCTGGATAAGAGCTACAGCTTTATCTATATTGATATCATAATTATAATTCTAATGATGTATTTATAAATTATAAATAAATAAAAGCTTTTGTTAAGTTGAGACTGCACTTTATCATTTTCAGCTACCACTTAGATCGGTTGGGTAGCAGTCAAGAACTGGCAGATAGGTAGAAAAATAAAAAAATTATGAGTCTTATATAAATGATGTTAAAAATCAAGTTTGGTTACAACTTTTTGAAATAAAACATAGGGCATTGACCTTTTATCTTTCATCTGTTATTAAGGTCATTTAGAGAACAATATTTTTAGACTATCAATAGTTATAGTAGACATTTAGTGTTTTGTATTAATTTCAAACTTTGATATGCTATGTAAAAAAATCTTGAGATATTAGGCTTTTTCAACCGACTTCGAAACAAGAAAGAGGTTCTTAATTTGATTGTACTTTTTTAATGTGTTACCTCAGAACATTTTTTGAGGTATTTGTTATTTGATGATTCTTTTTTATTTGAAAGCTGGTTCTTCACATGTGGTCCCACATATATGTGTGATCAAGACTGACCTGTACTTTTTAAGTTATCCTTAATAACCCTATACCTTTAAACGAGCAATTCTTGTATATACATATAATCGGCTCCAACGATTTTCATAAAATTTTGTGTCCAGAGAGTTTCGGGAGCAATAAATTGATCTAGCTAGGATTTATTTTCAGAAAATGTCCCTTTGTCCGTGTTTTAGGCAATAAAAAAACTGCTACAATTCATTATAAGAAGGTAAATTTTGACAGCTTATTAATGATTACAAGTAGCTTAATTGGTATATTGGGCGGTCACAATATCATAATACCATGGTTCGAGCCCAGACCGACCGACCGACTTTTTTTTAATTTTTTTTTTCAAGTTCCTTTCTTTTTTGAGAAAATCAATTTTTTCGAGCCCTTTTTTTATTATTTTTTAAAAACACGAAAATTTAAATTAAACTAATTGCACTCATGATTTTTTATTCAAATAACCAGTTCAGTTTTTTCTATTATGTCGCTAAGATCAAAAAATATTATTTGTATTTCATCAGTATGTAATTTGTATCTAAACATAATTTCCAAAACACACGAATTAAAAAAAAACCGAGCGAAGAATACCAAGCAAAGCTCGGTCAACCGGGTACTATGTATTTAATTGACTTTGACTACATTGATAATGTTCTCATTTTATTAATATTGAAGTCGGTTGTACAATTTTTTTAATTTTAGCACTTGTTTTATTTATCTTCATCAGCTATTAAACTGTGAGGAGGTGAACATAATATTGGATTGATATGTATAAAAATTATTATATTTCATAAAATAACTATTATTTTCTATATGTTCAGTTCAATAACAATAAGGAAGTTAAAGTTACAGCCCATATATTTCCAATTGCTGGGTAAAGGCCCCCTCTAATTTCTGAGAGAGTTATTTGAATATATATTTAATATTAATTACATCAAGTAACAATGATTGAATGAATACTATCACATATTTTTACCCTGGTATAAATATGTCATCACATCCTCTATAAAAAAAACTAAGAGTTATATGTAAATGAAATGAGGTTTAATGATGAAATTATATTAGCATTTATAATAGCCTTTTAATTTTATCAGCCTCTTTTACATGGTAGAGCCATGCTGCAACTATATTATGGTTGTAGCATAGCATGTAGCATAGTTGTAGCGAGTTGGCTCAACCGGAGTAGGAACACACTCTCACAGAATACCGGCCTAAAATTAGCAGCTTACTTAATGCCGTGGTAGCTCAGTAGTTAACACTCGCTGTAAATATAACAGAACGCGAGTAACCCGGGTTCGATCCCCGCCGGCACCAATGAAATTGTTAATTGCAATTTTAAGTACTGATTTACCACGTGCTCGGCGGTGAAGGAAAACATCGTGAGGAAACCTGCATGTCTGAGGAATAAGAAAAAAAAATATTTCGAAGACATGTGAAGTTCGTCAACACGCATTTGGGCAGCGCGGCGGACACTTCCTTGCCCTAAACCCTCTCAGAAATGAGTGGAGGCCTGAGCCCAGCAGTGGGACGTATATAGGCTGTAACTTTACTTTACTTTACTTTTAATGCTGCTGTATTTCATACGGTGAGTGTAGAGAACTAGAGACAGTATTTACTATAAACAAGACATTCCATCTCAGTCCTCAGGGGTGACAATGCATCTGTATTTTGATTCTTAATCTAGGATAAAGGTAGATGTTCATGGCCCACAACATCCGCTTACCATCATGTGGACTGTGTGCTCGTTTGCCACCCTAATTATGTAAAAAAGTCTTTATTTTTGTATAATACATAAAACAATGAATATACAGATCAAAGACTAGTCTGAATATGGAGCACCCTGCTGTTTGATGGATGAGCTTAAATTATCAACTGTTGGCAACAAATCCATCCAAAATTTGCCATATCCATATTTCAAAGACTGGTCTTGAAGATAGGAAATACCAATGGGAGGATTTTATTACTGAATCAACTTGCCTGATCTGGGTGGGGAATAGGACAAACTTTCATTTATTCATTTATCATTTACTTATTTTGTGGATCATAGATATTTCATAGATGTTAGATACATTATTATATAATCAAGTTCAACTATGTCCTACGCTGTGGGCATACAAAGTACAAATTACAAAATGCGAATTACAAATTATGAAGTACAAAAGTTATTAAAACAGTACAAACCAATAAAAGTAAGTATCTTAAAAATTACTGTATAAAATGCAAATGCAACATAAGCAAACATTAGTGGATACAGAATTTGAGAAACAATCATTAAGCATGTTGGAAGTCTAATTATGTCATAAAATATATTAAATACATCTAATGATTACATAAAATGATTGCACAGTCATTGTGCAATCATTTTAAGAAATGCGTGCCTGATGGCATACTCTTGCAAAAGCCTATTTTCAGCCATAGCTATTTATATTTATAGCCATGGCTGATGATGTGATATGATGATGCCTTTGTTTTTATGGGTGGTAAGAACCCTTTTCTAACTGTGAATCTGTCTGGGTTGCCACCTGTTTCCCTATTTCTGCCACCAGCACTGCATGCACTGCTGTATTCACGTCTGAGGGAAATAGATAACCAGTATAATTACAGACTGTGAGGAATACCTTATTAGCCCTAAGTATGGTGACAATTTATCTGTAGATTTCTTTTGAAAGTTGGCTACAGGTGTCCAAATAAAATTGTATGTCATCATCATCATTACATCCCTTCATAAATCCACTGCTGAACATAGGCCTCCCACAAGTAATTTCACAAAGCAGGGTCCTGAGCCACCTGCATCCATCGACTTATTGCATGTCTTACCAGGTAGTCAATCCATTTAGTGGAGGGTCGCTCGGCTGCCACTCGAGAACCTTTTTTCCCCATCGGTTGTCGGTCCTTTGAGCTATATGGCCGGCCCATTGCCACTACATTTTACTAATTCGTTGGGTTATGTCTGTCACTCTGCTGATATCCTCGTTTCTAAGTTTATCACGCAGAGAAACTCCAAGTATAACCCTCTCCATAGCTCGCTGAGCGACCTTGAGCTCATACGGCCAGCAGTGAAGGACCACATCTCGGTTCCATAAGTCATCACTGGCAACATGCACTGGTTGTAAAAATTGTGTCACTTTTATTTAATAAAAAAAATAAAATAATTGTAAGTAATGAATACAGAATGCATTACCCAAAGTATAGATGTTCATTTTACTGTATTATTTGATGAAACAAGTAATAAGATTTGTATTGTAGGAGTAATGTTCTTGAAGCTTTGTCTTTTTTTTTTTTTTTTTTTTTTTTTTTTTTTTTTTTTTATAGAAGAGGGGGCAAACGAGCATGTGGCTCACCTGATGTTAAGTGACTACCGCCGCCCATGATCAACCGCAACACCAGGGGAATTGCAGGTGCGTTGCCGGCCCTTTAGAAAGGAGTAAGCTCTTTTCTTGAAGGTCCCCAGGTCGTATCGGTCCGGAAAAATCACCGGTGGTAAATTATTCCACAGAGAGGTTGTACGCGGAAGAAAACTCCTTTTGAAACGTACAGTGGTGGACCGCCAAGCATCCAGATGGTGTGGATGGTATCGGGACGTTTGCCGTGTAGTGCGTTCA